CTGACCCAGCTCACACCGGCTACAACTGACCCAGCTCACACTTGCTACATCTGACCCAGCTCACACTTGCTACATCTGACCCAGCTCACACCGGCTACATCTGACCCAGCTCACACTTGCTACATCTGACCCAGCTCACACTTGCTACATCTGACCCAGCTCACACCGGCTACATCTGACCCAGCTCACACTTGCTACATCTGACCCAGCTCACGCCGGCTACATCTGACCCAGCTCACACTTGCTACATCTGACCCAGCTCACACTTGCTACATCTGACCCAGCTCACACTTGCTACATCTGACCCAGTTCACACTTGCCACACTTGCTCAGACCAGCTACATCTGACCCAGCTCACACCGCCTACATCTGACCCAGCTCACACCGGCTACATCTGACCCAGCTCACACCTGCTACATCTGACCCAGCTCACATCCTCCTATACCAGGTGGACTCTACACAGACAAACAAGTCTCGTATGAAGAATGATTTGAACAAAAATAGCTATATGTGGTTCGAACACACATGAAGACACATCTAAACTACATAGTAAGAAATTATGCATCTACTGACTTTTATGATGCAACTTTTAAACACAGCTCATATGTGATTTTATACAAAATGACGATATATAGACACATATTGTTGAAATATTCCGTGCAATCGACCTAACCATAGCGAAGGAGGATTGGGTAGAGTTGGGTGTGGTTGGTAGGTGCGGGGGAGTCATGGGGATCGAACTTCAACTATTGATGATGGACCCGACTGACACCCGTACCGCTGCACTGTGTTCGTTAAGTTAATCCCCTTTCTCAAAACCTGCAAGTGCAGGCATTTTTTCCTGCTTGAATTCGACAATGAAAAAATAAACACTGTATAAAATCCAATAAACGTTATACGTGTTAAGATGTTTCCACGACAACGCGGAGATAAGTCATCACAATTTTTAACACACGTAGGTTAAGTGGGACGAACATACGTCCAAACATTCACAAGCTTTGCTAGTTGAACAAGGCATTAGATGCAGGTTTATATTTCTTCGCATATATGGAAATAAACCTACTTTAGCTTTACTGAAAAACAATAAGCTATGAACAAACTATGACTAATGAATGTTATATTACAAGCAGACGTCATTTAGAAAAGCTTAACATATCTCAGAAACAAGGCAAATGAAACAAGTGATTTATCTACTCCAACAGCACCTCGGGCTGAACGCGGACTCGACAGTGGTTGAGGATATTGAAATACTCTTGTCACAAAGCAGAGGCAAACCATGGAAGATATATTTCAAAGGCACTTTCAATAAAAAAAGCAGCCATAAACCGAGTAGGTCGTTGTACAGACATCACCATGGCAACATACAACAATAACACAAAAAATATATTGTACACGTTCACATATTCCAACCATGAGAGAGGCCGCAATACTTACTGGCATGGAGTTATCTATCATCTAGAGACTCACACAAACATACTGGACCTTAAAGGCCTTACAGTGACGTAACAGTTTATCAACAAGCCGCCAAGGAGGTCAAAGTTTATGCTCCAACCAATTGGATTTCTAAGGATCAGCCAAAGAGAGTTAGTTGAATATGAACGTATTAAAAGAACAACACACAATTGAGTATTAATTAATCGCGCTCTTAATTCTTCATTAGGGTAATTGATATTCGCGGATAAGAATTTTGCCCAGAGAAGAGCATTTGTCACATTCAGCCATGAAACATGTGTTACATTTAACCCTGAAACACGTGTTACATTTAACCCTGAAACACATGCTACATTTAACCCTGAAACACATGTTACAGTCAACCATGAAACACGTGTTACATTTAACCCTGAAACACATGTTACAATTAACCATGAAACACGTGTTACAGTCAACCCTGAAACACTTGTTACAGTCAACAATGAAACACGTGTTACATGCAACCAGCAAACACGTGTTACATTCAACCAGCAAACACGTGTCACATTCAACCATGATACACGTGTCACATTCAACCATGAAACACGTGTTACATTCAACCAGCAAACACGTGTCACATTCAACCATGACACACGTGTTACATCCAACCATGAAACACGTGTCACATTCAACGATGATACACGTGTTAAATTCAACCATGAAACACGTGTCACATTCAACCATGAAACACGTGTCATATTCAACCCTGAAACACGTGTCATATTCAACTCTGAAACACGTGTTACATTCAACCATGAAACACGTGTCATATTCAACCCTGAAACACGTGTCATATTTAACCCTGAAACACGTGTCATATTCAACCCTGAAACACGTGTCACATTCAACCATGAAACACGTGTTACATTCAACCATGAAACACACGTTACATTCTACTCTAAGCATCAAACATGTGGCACATTTATTTGGAAACCTAAATGTTTAATACTGTATCCTGCACCCCATCCTCGGTTCTCCAGGGTACCATCTCTCTATTATGATACCTTGACCCTATACCTATAATTCGTTAGATTTCAATTCAATTCAGTTTACTACTCGGAAACCCACCAACGGTGGTCCTTGAGCATACACATATATACTGAACCGCAAAAGAAACGTCACCATTGATAGATATGCGAGAAACCTTATTTGTCCAAACACTGTAAACATACTTTGAGACATATTGAAAAGATGAAACTTGGCAAAACTGATTATCAAGGTTGAAATTAAAGTGACACATGTTCTTTAAGTGAAACACAATACTAGTCTCTGAGAAAATGGCATCACAAGTCAGTATCTCGTGTGTCCGCCACACATGGAATGGATGAGGCGGTTGATTAAGGCCATAGGCACTTGAGCCCACACGCTGAGGAACGCCTGACGCAGTTCAGCTGCAGTTGTCGGCCTTGGTCGGACGTCATTCAGCCTTCTTTGAATCTCGTCCCACAGGTGCTCAATAGGATTTAAATCGAGACTGGGGGCAGGCCACTGCATGGTTCTGATGCCATTCTGCTGGAGGAAGTCTCTTGTTGCCCTCGCAGTGTGGGCACGGAAGTTATCATGCTGAAACTCGTGGTTGCGGCGACGTGCCAAATGAGGTATGGCGTGTGGTCACAAGACTTGATCGATGTACCGAACTGCTGTGACACCATTGTTTCTCCCTGGACCGATGTTCTGGAAGACCACAGGGCCGACCCTCTTTGCAAGACCAATTCCACCCCACACCATGATGCTCGGACCACCCCACGAGGCTCTCTCAACACAAGCATCTGAATAATGTTCCCCACGGCGTCGCCAGACTCTCTCACTCTCTGCCATCTGCTGTTGGGATACAGTAACGGCTCTCGTCTGAGAAGAGGACTCTTCTCCACTGCTGGTGGAGCCAATGTTGGTGCTGTGTTACCCACTGAAGACGGTCCCGGCGATGACGTGGTGTCAGAATGTGTCCTCGGTGTGGCCTGTGACAACGGAGGTGTCTGCAGTAACAAAGCGATCTTGAAGATGCTGTCGCACAATCTGACGATCCTGACGTCGGGTGGTGAACCGTGGTCGGTCATCTGTAGTGTTGGTGGTCTGGTACTGTTGCTGGAGCCTGTATATGATCCTTACGTGGACTAGAAATGCATTGGCTACATGCCGGGCAGTTTGCCCAGCTTGCAATCGTCCAAGGGCGTGGTGTCGCTGATTTCTTGTCATGTGATAGCAATTCAATAACGAATGAATGTTATCCGATCTGGGTGGATTTTTAGAGAATGGGAGAACATACGTGCATTTCAATTTGCACGGAACTCACGTGCATCCGGTTACCATGACCGTTGCCGTGATGCGTTTGGGCGATCGGTTTTATTGTCATCTGCATTTTTTTTATCATCAAATTTCATTTTTCCGGACAAGGTAATGTGAAATTTTAGAAAGTTTGACAACAATTACCCAGATAGTTAAATGACAACTTTTCATGCAATGTTACTTGGGGTGACGTTTCTTTTGCAGTTCAGTATACATTTAATAAACAATACAAGATGAAAGATGTTGGAGTTTTGCTTCATCGGCGACATATTTAGACATAATATATTTAGAAATATTCTTTATATTTTTCGCTTTCTTGGATGAGAACATTTCAATTTGTACATATTTGGCCAGTCATAGAATGGCTTGGGGATGTAAATAATTCGCCGCTGGATGAGAGCTTACAACAGATAGTGAATCTCCTCCCCACCTGCAGGAGCGTCACGTAGTTTACATACGCGTTCCACTCTCGGCATGTTGTGCCAGCGGCCGGATTAAATGGACAAATTATGGTTATTAGTTATAAATTTGAGAATAGGACAACATGCATTATTGATCGAGAAGGAATACTATAAAAGATGAGTTTCTTTAAATTCTGTATAGTACAAACCCTTTGAACTTCCCATCATGGAGCTTCGCCAGTTCCACAGATAATGATCTTTAAATCTTTCTTCTACCTTTGAAGCCAGTCAGTGTGTAGATCAAAACCCGGTATCCCAAGCCTACCATCATTAAGCGTTTTATCATAAACAAATCCACTGCTGTTGATCTGCGGTGCGGCTTCCAGTGAGTGACGTCAGCGCTGCCCTGCCCTCGTTCACGAGCTGGCTTCACAGTGCCCTTTCTCCATGCATTGAATCCCATAATTACTGCAGACTGTGATACACGAACTTTTACATGGAACACAAGCTTTCCTCAGACCAAGACAGGGGAAGGAAGTCATTATGCTGCAAGACGTTCAGTTGAAATGAAGAGAGCCCACTAAAGTCAAATGGAGAACTTGTGATATCGCCCTCAATCATGAAAGTACATGTATGCCTAGACTACCATTTAGTCTCTGAAATTCTATATATCACAATATCCTTCTTGACTCTAAAAAAATAAAAAAATCCCTATGCTGATTTCAGAGACTAAATGTTAGTCCTGCACCATGACCTTGGAATATATTTATTTTATGAAAAAAAATAATCTAGAAATGCATACAAAAGCAAGTCTAGCCAGCTCAAGCTAGCTCTATTCCACAGTCTCTGAAATCAGCATAGGGAATTTTTATTTTACTTTTAGAGTGAAGAAGGATATAGTGTAATATAAGATATCAGAGAATAGAGCTAGCTTGAGCTTGCTAGACTTGCTTTTGTATGCATTTCTAGCATTATTTCTTACATTAAATAAATATATTCCACGGTCATGGTGCAGGACTAATGCATGCCCTGATTCTGGAGTTATTCGACACGGACTCAGACGGAAGGTATGGTGGCGAATTGGTCCAGGACATTTATCCCAACACATACATATTCTCACTTTGTCACACATACATTCACATTCTATAAGGCATACTGATTCTTACATTCTGAAACATACATATTCTCACATTCCGTAACACATACATATTCTCACATTTTTTAACACATACATATTCTCACATTCTCTAACAGATACTGATTCTCACATTTAATAACACATACATATTCTCACATTCCATAACACATACATATTCTCGCATTCTTTAACACATCCATATTCTCACATTCTCTAACAGATACTTATTTCACATTCAATAACACATACATATTCTCACGATCTATAAAACATAATACTCTAACATTATGTAACAAATACATATTCTCACATTCTATAACACATACAAATTCTCACATTCTGAAACATACATTCTCACATTCCATAACACATATATATTCTCACATTCTATAACACAAAGTATTCTCACATTCTGTTACACATACATGTTCTCACGATCTACAAAAGCATGATATTCTCGCATTCTGTAACACATATATACACATTCCCACATCCTATAACACATACAAATTCTCACATGATTTTGTGACATGCTCTTTTTTGAATATTTTCGTCAGCAGATGCTTGCTTTTAGAGTAACACCCTTCTTCTTTGCCGTCCCTCTTCTTGGCGTTCACCTTCCGCTTGAGTCGGATCTGGCTGACAATGCCGACCAGGAGTTCGTCCACGTTGTGGTTCAGGACCACCGACGTCTCCGTGTATTTGCAGTCGTAGGTTTTGGCAACACTCTTGGCCTCTGAAACATATATTATAAGTCACAGGTCGGCTTTAACGTTGCATCTGCACATGCCCGATACCTCATTCAGGAACTAGATAAGTCGCTACACAATTTTAGAATACGGAGATGTCACGTTCGTCGACCAGGCTGCACATTCCAGTGAACATGTTGCACACACAATCAGTGAACATTTTGCAAACACAATCATTATACATATTGCACACACAATCATTATACTCACGGCACACACAACCAGCAAGCATTTGCACACACAATCAGTGAACACAATGCACACACAATCAGTGAACACAATGCACACACAATCAGTGAACATATTGCAAACACAATCATTATACATATTGCAAACACAATCAGTGAACATATTGCAAACACAATCATTATACATATTGCACACACAATCATTATACATATTGCACACACAATCATTATACACAGGGCACACACAACCAGCAAGCATTTGCACACACAATCAGTGAACACATTGCACACACAATCAGTGAACACATTGCACACACAATCAGTGAACACATTGCACACACAATCAGTGAACATATTGCAAACACAATCATTATACATATTGCACACACAATCAGTGAACACATTGCACACACAATCATTATACATATTGCACACACAACCAGCAAGCATTTGCACACACAATCAGTGAACACATTGCACACACAATCAGTGAGCACATTGCACACACAATCAGTGAACACATTGCACACACAATCAGTGAACACATTGCACACACAATCAGTGAACACATTGCACACACAATCAGTGAACACATTGCACACACAATCAGTGAACCCATTGCACACACAATCAGTGACCACAATGCACACACAATCAGTGAACACACATTGCACACAAAATCAGTGAACACATTGCACACACAATCATTATACATGTTGCACACAAAATCAGTGAACTCATTGCACACACAATCAGTGAACAAAATGCACACACAATCAGTGAACACATTGCACACACAATCAGTGAACACATTGCAAACACAATCATTATACATGTTGCAAACACAATCAGTGAACACAATGCACATTCAATCAGTGAACACATTGCACACACAATCAGTGAACACATTGCACACACAATAAGTGAACACATTGCACACACAATCAGTGAACACAATGTACACACAATCAGTGAACACAATGCGCACACAATCAGTGAACACATTGCACACACAATCAGTGAACACATTGCACACACAATCAGTGAACCAATTGCACACACAATCAGTGACCACAATGCACACACAATCAGTGAACACACATTGCACACACAATCAGTGAACACATTGCACACACAATCATTATACATGTTGCACACAAAATCAGTGAACTCATTGCACACACAATCAGTGAACAAAATGCACATACAATCAGTGAACACATTGCACACACAATCAGTGAACACATTGCACACACAATCATTATACATGTTGCACACACAATCAGTGAACACAATGCACACACAATCAGTGAACACATTGCACACACAATCAGTGAACACATTGCACACACAATCAGTGAACACAATGCACACACAATCAGTGAACACCCTTGCACACACAATCAGTGAACACATTGCACACACAATCAGTGAACACACCAGCATTAACCACCAGTCTACTCCGCCGCACCCCTAAGGCACAAGGACACAGATTCTAAATACATTTCAATTGTCACCTTCTGTTGTGATGTCCCGGGTTCTGACCAGGTCACACTTGTTGGCCACGAGAATGATGGCCGTGTTCATCTTGTCCACGTGTCGGATCTCGAACAACAGGTCCGTGGCCTTCTCGAAGGTGGCGCGCTCGTCGATGCTGAACACCACCACGAAAGCGTCCACGCCGCCCTCGGAGTGCAGGCGCCAGTCCTGCAAGGAAATAATCGAGTCTGGACACGGCAAACCACTGCGACTGTTTGTTTGTTTGTTTGTTGTTTAACGCCACACTCAGCAATATTTCTGCTATATGACGGTTGTCTGTAAATAATCGAGTCTGGACTAGACAATCCAGTGATTGACATCATGAGCATCGATCCACGCAGTTGTGATACGATAACATGCATGAACTAAGTCAGCGAGCCTGACCACCCGACACCCAGATACAATGTGCAACTGAGACACCCAATAGTGGGTGTAAGTAGCATGACAGGTTTATGAATAATGTCACTAGAAACATGATCTCACGCCCTGCATCTGTGTTCAGGACTGTTGTCAACATGTCGGTGGTCCTGAGATGCAACGTCCCAGTTTCCAGGTGTAGGATAGACAACATTAGGGACGATTGTTAGGGAGGTTTCGGAGAGACTGAAGGTGGTGTGAGGTGTCTGTGACAGTCTGGGGTGTAGTGTCTGTGACAGTCTGGGATGGGATATCTGTGACAATCTGGGTAGGGGTATATGTGACAGTCAGAGATGGGGTGTCTGTGACAGTCTGGGGTGGAGTGTCTGTGATAGTCTGGGGTGGAGCGTCTGTGACAGTCTGGGGTGGGATATCTGTGACAGTCAGAGATGGGGTGTCTGTGACAGTCTGGGATGGGATATCTGTGACAGTCAGAGATGGGGTGTCTGTGACAGTCTGGGATGGGATATCTGTGACAGTCAGAGATGGGGTGTCTGTGACAGTCTGGGATGGGATATCTGTGACAGTCAGAGATGGGGTGTCTGTGAGAGTCTGGGGTGGAGTGTCTGTGATAGTCTGGGGTGGAGTGTCTGTGACAGTCTGGGGTGGGATATCTGTGACAGTCAGAGATGGGGTGTCTGTGACAGTCTGGGATGGGATATCTGTGACAGTCTGGGATGGGATATCTGTGACAGTCAGAGATGGGGTGTCTGTGACAGTCTGGGGTGGAGTGTCTGTGATAGTCTGGATGGGGTGTCTGTGACAGTCTGGCGGGGTGGGATGGGGTGTCTGTGCCAGTCTGGGGTGGAGTGTCTGTGACAGTCTGGGATGGAGTGTCTGTGACAGTCTGGGATGGGATATCTGTAACAGTCAGAGATGGGGTGTCTGTGAGGGCGTGTCTGTGACAGTCTGGAGGGGGTGTCTGTGACAGTCTGAAGGGGGTGTCTGTGACAGTCTGGGTAGGATATCTGTGACAATCTGGAAAGGGCTATGTGCGACAGTCTGGGATGGGGTATCTGTGACAGTGTGGAGGGGGTGTCTGTGACAGTCTGGGGTGGAGTGTCTGTGACAATATGTGTGGGGTGTCTGTGACAGTCTGGGTAGGATATCTGTGACAATCTGGGAAGGGGTATCTGTCACAGTCTGGGATGGGGTATCTGTGACAGTCTGGAGGGGGTGTCTGTGACAGTCTGGGATGGGGTATCTGTGACAGTCTTGAGGGGGTGTCGGTGATAGTCTGGGATGGGGTATCTGTGACAGTCTTGAGGGGGTGTCGGTGATAGTCTGGCGGGGTGTCTGTGGCAGTCTGGCGGGGTGGGATGGGGTGTCTGTGACAGTCTGGCGGGGTGTCTGTGATAGTCTGGATGGGGTGTCTGTGCCAGTCTGGGGTGGAGTGTCTGTGACAGTCTGGGATGGAGTGTCTGTGACAGTCTGGGATGGGATATCTTTGACAGTCAGAGATGGGGTGTATGTGACAGTCTGGAGGGCGTGTCTGTGACAGTCTGGAGGGGTGGTATGGGGTGTCTGTGACAGTCTGGCGGGGTGGGATGGGGTGTCTGTGACAGTCTGGCGGGGTGTGATGGGGTGTCTGTGACAGTCTGGCGGGGTGGGATCGCGTGTCTGTGACAGTCTGGCGGGGTGGTATGGGGTGTCTGTGACAGTCTGGCGGGGTGGGATCGGGTATCTGTGACAGTCTGGCGGGGTGGTATGGGGTGTCTGTGACAGTCTGGCGGGGTGGGATCGGGTGTCTGTGACAGTCTGGTGGGGTGGGATGGGGTGTCTTTGACAGTCTGGCGGGATGGGATGGGGTGTCTGTGACAGTCTGGCGGGGTGGGATCGGGTGTCTGTGACAGTCTGGTGGGGTGGGATGGGGTGTCTTTGACAGTCTGGCGGGGTGGGATGGGGTGTCTGTGACAGTCTGGCGGGGTGGGATCGGGTGTCTGTGACAGTCTGGCGGGGTGGGATGTGGTGTCTGTGACAGTCTGGCGGGGCGGGGGGGGGGGGGGGGGGGGGTGTCGGTGATGGTGATGAGTCATTCTTGAAGCCTGTCAGTGCCACGGGCATGTATTTGTGTGTCGAATATACTCGCTGTAACACAACGTGTTGCTATAGGAATATACTCGCTGTAACACAACGTGTTGCTATAGGAATATACTCGCTGTAACACAACGTGTTGCTATAGGAATATACTCGCTGTAACACAACGTGTTGCTATAGGAACACACTCGTGGAGATATATCTTGCACAATACCTCAAGGCATTAGAGAGTTTCTGGCTTCAAGGTGGATATTTCTAGACGTGTATTACTTTCGTGAAATGATTTGTTAAATGTCAGATTGTTAAATAAGTTATATTTCCAACGAGACATCATTCTGCATTATACGTCGTGACATATAGATGACCATGACTGGTACTCATCATGACTGGAAGTGCACACATCTACAAACTACTCATTGCATCAAGCATCATATGTCATAAGACATCTTGTGGACGTCAGGTTACAACGTTACAGTCACTTTCTATCCGTCACGTTACAGTATCTTCCTGGCCCATTCGTGACCAACTCGCGTTTTTCCGGGACATGCTGCGTAGCGACTCGTGCCACTCTGGATGCCATTTTTGCGACTGGGTTTCGTCTTAAGCGCAAACGCGCAAAGCTTAAAGAATTGTCAACTCTTAGCGTAATTATTCACGTATATTTCCCCAATTTCATATATATTCCAGATGCTATTAAAACACATCCAGATTCACGGTATTATACAGTATGATTGAATATGTTTAACTGTTTCTTGTGTATGTTTCTAGATGCAAGATGTATGTAAAATAAATAAAAAAATATTCCCGACGGATATTTTGACCCGAAGTACTTGAAGTCATACGCACATTCAGACTGGTTTGTCGCACATATCATTCATCGATAGGAGCCCGAGTCTTCTTGCAGGTGACGGAAAGGGGCGATTAGTGACGAATGATTCATGGCCGTCACGCTAAAGTAAAGGGGCTCTCACACTTTGCCGAGTTGCGTCCCGAGTATGGACCCGAGCTGACTCGGGGATACTCGTATAGAGCTCGTAGAGAGGTCGTACTAAACTATGGGGCTCGTAACACACTCGTAGCGTTCTCGTATGATACTCGTATATGTAGTCTCTTCCCGAGTCCTAACCGAGTTAACCGAGTTAGACTCGGGAGAGCTAGGGAACCACCTCGGCAAAGTGTGAGAGCTGCATAACTCCAGGCCATTGACATTACAGTGCCATTCTGGAAGTAACGTGGCCATCATATAACAGTCACTTCCGGGTAGTAACGTGGTCATCATATTACAGTGACATTCTGGAAGTAACATGGCCATCATGTTACAGTAACTTTCTGGTAGTAACGTGGCCATCATGTTACAGTCACTTTCTGGTAGTAACGTGGCCATCATGTTACAGTGACTTCCTGGTAGTAACGTGGCTATCATATTACAGTTACTTCCTGGTAGTAACGTGGCCATCATGTCCTTGTCATCATATTACAGTCATTTTCTGGTAGTAACGTGGCTATCATATTACAGTTACTTCCTGGTAGTAACGTGGTCATCATGTTACAGTGACTTCCTGGTAGTAACGTGGTCATCATATTACAGTCATTTTCTGGTAGTAACGTGGCTATCATATTACAGTTACTTCCTGGTAGTAACGTGGTCATCATGTTACAGTGACTTCCTGGTAGTAACATGGTCATCATGTTACAGTCACTTCCTCGTAGTAACGTGGCCATCATATTACAGTTACTTCCTGGTAGTAACGTGGCTATCATATTACAGTTACTTCCTGGTAGTAACGTGGCTATCATATCACAATGCCATTCTGGTAGTAACGTGGCTATCATGTTACAGTTACTTCCTGGTAGTAACGTGGCTATCATATTACAGTGACATTCTGGAAGTAACGTGGCCATCAATTACAGTTACTTCCTGGTAGTAACGTGGCTATCATATTACAGTGCCATTCTGGAAGTAACGTGGCCATCATATTACAGTCACTTTCTGGTAGTAACGTGGCCATCATGTTACGGTGACTTCCTGGTAGTAACGTGGCCATCATGTTACAGTCACTTTCTGGTAGTAACGTGGCCATCATGTTACAGTTACTTCCTGGTAGTAACGTGGCCGTCATGTTACAGTCACTTCCTGGTAGTAACGTGGTCATCATGTTACAGTCACTTTCTGGAAGTAACGTGGCCATCATGTTACAGTCACTTTCTGGTAGTAACGTGGTCATCATGTTACAGTTACTTCCTGGTAGTAACATGGCCATCATGTTACAGTCACTTTCTGGTAGTAACGTGGCCATCATGTTACAGTTACTTCCTGGTAGTAACGTGGCCGTCATGTTACAGTCACTTCCTGGTAGTAACGTGGTCATCATGTTACAGTCACTTTCTGGAAGTAACGTGGCCATCATGTTACAGTCACTTTCTGGTAGTAACGTGGTCATCATGTTACAGTTACTTCCTCGTAGTAACATGGTCATCATGTTACAGTGCCATTCTGGAAGTAACGTGGTCATCATGTTACAGTCACTTTCTGGTAGTAACGTGGCCATCATGTTACAGTTACTTCCTGGTAGTAACATGGCCGTCATGTTACAGTCACTTCCTGGTAGTAACGTGGCCATCATGTTAAAGTCACTTCCTGGTAGTAACATGGTCATCATGTTACAGTCACTTTCTGGTAGTAACGTGGTCATCATGTTACAGTCACTTTCTGG